CCCGCAAGACGATGACATTTCTGTTAACGTCGTAAATTGATCCGTGGCGGTTGAGTCGATATGTCAGTGATAAAGGGCAGCGCTCACTCCCAGACAGTTCAATAGGTTGCTCCTTTGCCGATCAGTTCGTACGTTTTTCTAAAATGCCTACAGTTTATGCTCGTTTACCTGCTGAAAGCGTGGATGTTTCGATATTGGGAGAGCAACTGAAGTTTCGCAGTGGTCGCACGGCAAAGAATAGATTTCTTAAGGTGAGTAGATTGTTTCTATTTCTTATTTCTTGACGTTCAAAGTCAATTTGTCTCTCGCTGACTGCAGCGGTCATTTGTTTGTCTTATTGTCGTAATGCAGAAACATCTGTTGTTACGAGCATTTGTTTCAAGTGAAATCCATGCGCTGTTGAAAGTGCAGGTACACACACCTTTTAGTCTAGGGTCGTGCACTTGAGGAAGCAATGCTGATAATTCGGGTGCGCAGATAGGCCCCAAGAACTTTCCATTTGTGATATTCAGCAGAATAGAATTGGTGCGGTGGACATGCACTGAGTTGGTTGTGTGAGCTTTTCTCTGTTTATACTAATGGTAGATATTTCTCTTACTTACCCAACTGGAATAACACCAGTTATCATCATAGCCGAGAAGTTGTGAAGATTTCTGACATTGAATATGGCAAGCAAAGCCGTTCAGAATGTTCCCAGTCTTTGAGATGAACTATGTTCAGAGCTGAGGGACCCCAAAGGTTCTATCCGGATTCCGGAAATCCGTTAGGCATCAAAGATCTAGAAATATAGGATGAGAGCAGAAGGGAAGAACATGATGTTATTGTGATTTTGCTGCGTATTATAGGCTGCGCTGACTGAAAGAATCAGTACGTGGGATCCGAACGATCTGAAGAAAACTGGTATCCTACTGAAAGCCTTGTAAACCTGTACGATAGATGGGGTCATGGCGGATTTGGGATGATTTTGACTGGAAACATATGCGTAGATCCGGTATGTTTCCACCTCCTCTTCTCTCTTCTTCAGTATTATTCGTTGAGACGCTTTTATACTAACGTTGAGCAAGGCTTTTGATTTTCCAAAAAAGTGCTGCGTTACGTTGTTCTGTGGCTATTCTATGAGTGTCCTTATCAACCGCTTTTAGTTCAACTTGGAATCAGCGGGAAATGTAGTGTTCAGCAAGGAGAACGACTCGCCGCAGTTAAGACAAATGGCCTCAAAGTTAGCGACAGCAATGCAGCAGGATGGAGCGTTA